AATTAAAATAATAAAAAAATAAATATTTAGGTAGTCACTGCTACCACATGCATGCAATTTTGCATTCTTTTTCTCTACACAAAAGGATATTTCCTTCTGCAACAAAGATTTTATAAGTAGAAATTTAAAGGCTTAATAATATCGTGTGGGATATTTATAGTATAATTTAGTCATTCTCATACTGTTGGTACATATAGTTGGTTCCTTTTTGTGGTAAAAAGTGCTGCAATAATCATTTTGAAAGTATTGCAAAACAAAACACTTATTAAAATGGTGTAATTAAATCTATGCAGTACAGTAAATAGCATATTCACTACAAGTAGACTAACTGCTAATGCTATAGAAAGCACGTATGTTGCATCTATAATAGAGGGATTTAATCTTTCACCAAACACTTGTTTCATATTACTTTTTCCCCTGTGTTGCTGGGGAATGAACCCAGAGCCTTTTACATGCAAGGCGTATGTTCTAACACTAAGCTGCATCTCCAGATCTATCTGTCTGTCTGTCTGACTAATCTACCTCATCTGTCTGTCTGTCTGTCTGTCTCTTTGAGATAGAGTGCTGCTAAATTGCCCAGGCTGCCCTGGAATTTGCAATCCTCCTGCCTCAGTGCCCCAAGTAGCTGGATTACAGTTGTGTACCACTGTGCCTGCTCAAATTGCTTCTCAAAAGTAATTTTCTGCTTAAATCCGGTAGATTGTTAATATTTGAATGCTGCTTATTTCTAATTCCACAGGACTTTTTATGAATAGTGAAGGCACATTTATGCTCTAGTGGCTTTGCATCTCCTGAGCACGCAAGGGAGGTAATCAGGTGCATGCAAAAACCAGAGAGCACCAGGAGTCCTCACAGATAAGGCAGTCACCCAAGCAGGCCACAATAATATGACCCTATCATTCCCATTTCCATAAAAACAAGAAAATGTCCCAACTGTGTCCCAGCACACAGTTGATCTGCAAATGCAGTCAGAGCTCCACAACAAAAGTTCTGCATGCACAGACTTCAACCAAATTCTTATCAAAAATATATGGAAAATCCTGTAATCCCAGCACTTGGGAGGCTGAGGAATGGATGATCACTGCAAGTTCAAGGCCAGTCTGAACTACACAGGAGACCCTGTCTTCAAACAAACAAAACAAACCAAAAAAAATATTCGGTATGTATTTTTTCTTGTCATTATTCCTTGGACAATTCAGCATGGCAATGATTTACAAAGCATTTACATTGAATTATGCATTACAGGTAACCTAGAGGTGAATTAAAGCATATAGCTATTTGATTCAGCTATTCCTCTTCTAGATGTTTTCCTCAAAGAGCTAAAGACATCATATCATAGTTATCCATGCATACCCATGTTTATAGCAGCACAACTCATAACAGCTAAATCTTAGAAGTAGCTTTTGTGTCGACCAACAGTTGAACGGATAAAGAAAATGTAGTATTTATACACAATGGAGTACTACTTTGACATAAAGAAGGATAAACTTGATTCCTTTGTAGCAAAATGGATGCACCTTGAGACCATAATCTTAGGTGAAACAAATTAGACACACAAGCTTAAACATCACATGGTCTCTCTTATATGAGAAACACAAATTATAAGTAAAAATCAAAATAAAAGATAATAGGAAGTAGGGAGATCTTTTTCAATTGAGAAAGGGAACAAGAGATCGAGGGATGGGGGAAGGAAGGGAATAAAGGGGGATTAAAAAAAGAATTAAAATAAGTGGAAATAGAGCTTCGGCAAATGGGAAAGGGACCAAGACATGGAAGAAAAGCAGAGAGGGGCTGGGGATATGGCTCAGTGCTGCACATCTGCCTGGAAACCGCAAAGTCCTGAGTTTGATCCCTGGTACCGACAAAAAAAAAAAAAAAAAAGAAAGAAAAAGCAGGGAGGGAGGAGAGGGGCAGGGGACAAAAACAGAATTAATATGTGTTATATACTTGTTCCAACTCCCCACAATAAACATAATCATTATGTACTGCAAAATGAAGTAATAAAAATAAAAATTAAACCGAAAGTATAGAGGGAGATGGACATGATTATAGGTAAAATCTGTTCCATTTTGGATGAGATTTGAGCATTTACAGATTTTGTTATCTGAGGGAATTGGGAACCCACTCCCATGGATGAGGGACCACAGTATATTCAACTGTGTACATTAAAGCTATTCAGAAACAATGTCGCCGAAGTCAAGACTGGCTGAGAAAGGAGAAAATTGGTAAACCAAAATAACAAAAACAACTCATCCTCTTGTTGGTATCATTACTATTTTTTTTTTGGTACCAGGGATCGAATTCGGGACCTTGTGCTTGCGAGGCAGGCGCCGGAACCACTGAGCTAAATCCCTGGCCCCAATATTGTTACTTTTAGTAACAGCTACTGGCCTTTTTAGTTCATGTGGAAAGAATGATGGGAAGGCGAGCGTCCTGGTTACAAACCTGGTAGCCCCTGATTCTCTCCATCTCCTTGCTGGCTAGCGGGTTGCTCCTGACCACACACACCAGGGCCTTGACGGCGGCATAGAGCCCTTCCACGTCGGAGGCCATGGCCACCAGGCCCAGGATGGCCGCTGCGCCACCAATGTACTGCAAAGTAGTGGCAACAGGCTTAGGGACAAACGTTCTTACTCCTGATTAAAAGACAGTGAGAAACAATTAAATTCTCCGGGTCAACAAGAACCAAATAAAGCATCTTAAGTAGTTTGTTTCTAACTATGAATTTCAGTTTTTAAAAATCTTCTGCCCTACAATAAAAATTCTAAAAAACAAAAATTCACAAGTGCTTAAGAGAAGGCCATAAATGGCCTTGTACACACTTGGAGGAGCACACAGAGAGGACCTGGGTGTCAGGGTAATGCCAGCATCTGTGCTGGTTCCCTCTGGGTGACTGACAGAAGGGCCCCAGCGTGTGGAGGTGCTGGGGTGAGTGGCCAGCAGGGCTCTGCTGGGGATGCACTGCTGTGGCTCTGAGTCAGGATGGGGGTCAGAGGAGCCCATGGTGGGGACACGGCACTTCCTAACCCCAGGCCTAGGAGAGCACATCCCTGACCACGGCCAAGGCTCCTCCAGGCACAGTGATCTAGGGACAGGGCAGCTGCAACTCCAGGGAGCCCAACCTCACGAAAACACAGTCCCGACTCTGTGTCCATTTAAACCATGTCTACATTCCCAGCATTGCTATGAAAGGGATCATTTGATTATCACTTCCTTACTGATCAGGCTGAATTTAAAAAACATAAAACCAGTTGGGCATGGTGGTGAATGCCTATAGTCCCAGCTACTCAGGAGGCTGGGCGGGAGGACCAGGTGAGCCCAAAAGTTTGAGACAGCCTGGGCAACACAGAGACACCATCTTAAGGGGGAGGGGACACACACACACACACACACACAGACACACACACACAACCGACAGGCATTAATATGCATTTTATACTTCTATGTGCTTTGCAGTATTTGTAATATTTTCATTTGGTATGGCACTGGATTTTTAAAACTCCCTTTTAAGGCAGTCAGGTTCAGTCTTCTTAGTTCCTAGGTAAGGTAAATGGAGTTCACAGAGCTAATGCCTGACCTCATGTAACACAGTGACAGAGGAGGGGATGAACCCTACAACCTGTGAGCGCCTCCTGCGCCCTTCCCACTGCGTCACATTACTGCTGCAGAGTGAAAAGGACACAGAGCGGTGATCAGTACTTGTGGAGCTGAGTAAGGAAAAATACTTCGTGCTTTGTCGTGAAGGAAACTGTTAACAGCGCAATAGTATCAAACAAGAAAAGCAGAGCTAAGCTTTGTGTAGGTTACTGGGGCATAGCATCTGCCGAGGTCTGCCAGATCTTTGCTGACAGGATTCGAACGAACACAACACCAACTCTTTGTTAAACTAAAAAGGCTTTGCATATTAAAAAGGAATAACCACTGATTATGAATTCTGGAGGGCCCAACTGCATTTTGACTCAAAATCCTACCTATTCAAAAAAACCCCCCAAAAACCAAAAACAGAAAAACTAAAAAAAAAAACCTTGAAATACCAAATAAAACAAAAAATCCTTTTTAAACAGATAGCTCATATAAGGCTCTGTAGATTGTCCACCATTTATTACCAGTAGATGTGGTGTTTATATTCAGAAGCTGTTGTTTTTAGCCATTTCTAAATAATAGAAGAATTCATGAAGAAAACCACTGCTAAAATGAGTCATGAAACAATCAATAATCATTTTAAATTTTAATAGAAGTTTTGAATTTTTTCTCTACATGTAATTTGAAATTCATGGAAAATTACATGGAAGCAAGTAGCCAGTGTTCATTAGTGCTAAAAAGAGGGAAAATATTATATTACAGAAGTTTTGATTTTTAAAGTTGGCTGGAAATTGAGATTGTCACATCGATCTCTACTGAACGAGTACTACAGGTCCAGCTCCATAAATCACAAATTTAAACATCGACCCTCAAGTGAGTGCAGATTCAAAGGCCATGGAGACTCTGACATAGCACAGACAACTGAACTCACCCAAGTATCCAATCAGAGTGGCCCCAATGGTCCGCGCAGGCCCATTCAGGTGTCCTGCAGAATTGTGCACCAACTTCACAGGCGTGGCATTCTCGTGGGAGGAGATGCCTAACTAAAGAAGAGCAAAGAAAAATGTAATTATAGATGGAACAGCCTGAATCCTTTGGTTGGAAAAGAAACAAACTGTATGACTGCTGATGGTGCTCACTTTGGCAGCACATATACTAAAGTATTATTGTTGATGTATTTTTTTCTTTCTTCCTCATCAGAATGTTTTAAGAAATGGACACATTTTTTTTTTCATTAAGTTTACTGGTACATTTTAGGTATACAATACAGTCACATTCATCATTGGGATCTTGTACCATTACATGAGTATCTTGGTTCTTATTTTTTCTCTATTCCCTTCCTTTCCCTTCACCCCCTCCACTCTTCCCTATTTACAAAGACTGTTTCCATTTTTTTCCTTTTCTCGTATTTTTTCTTTTCCCTTCTTTTCTTTACCCTATCACTCCCACTTCACCTACTCCTTTGGACCTTTTCTTCCTATTTCACAATATCATTTATACATTTTGATTCTTATTTATACTTTTGGCTTCTCACACCAGAGAAACTATTTGGTATTTACACATGTGTTCTATTTATTTCACTTAGGAGTATGGCCTCAATGTGCATCCACTTAGCTATAAATGTCTCTAGTTTCTTGTTCTTTATGGCTGAGTAGTATTCCATTGTATATACATAAAAAAAACACATCTTCTTTATCCAGTCTTCAGTTCATAGACAATTGGGCTGTTTCCAAGTTTTAGCTATTACAAACTGTGCTGCTATAAAACATATATCGCTGTGGTATGATTCTTTTAATTCTTTTTGGAAGATACCAAGCAAGGGAATAGCTGGGTCAAATGGGATTTCTAATCCTAGTTCTTTTTTT